CAAAGGAAGTTGATTTGTGAAGTTCAAGATGTAGCAGACACCTAAGGAAATCATCAGTCCCTTGCACATAACCAAAGCATTTTCTGAACAAAATGATTCCCATTTTTTGTTCAGCACCACTTTAGTGCTTAGGTGATTCTGATGGTGGTAGAGCAAATAACCCAAAATAATCCCATAGTCTCTGTTGTGGTTCGTAATATTAAATTACTTCCTGGCAAAATGGATTTGCTAGTTATAGGGCAGTGATTTGTTTCTAGTGTTCCTTTCCAGGTCTCCTGCCCTATTAGCTGAGCTAAGCATCAGTGCCTCTGGAATTAGCTGTATATTTCATGTCATGACCCTCCTTTGCTTTCTGGGAGACCCAGTATTTGCTACTGAGCATCTGTCCTGATCCATGATCCAAGGATGAAACCAGCTGTTTGAACCTGGCTGCCAAGCACTTCAGTTGCCAGGCTTCTTTGATGCCAGACCTTTGTTTCATTACAGATACGTTTTACCGGTGAATTGATCTCCCAGGTCACAGCTGCCTGCCTGGCTGCCTGCCTGCCTGGATTTCTCAGTATTGCTCTGCCCAGAATCTGTCATTGTGCTCTCCTATTTGAAGCTCCAATATTAGCTGAAATGTGATTGAGGTTATGCCTTTCACTCACCATCTATTCATCCAGGCATCACTTCTCGATGTCTGTCTTATATTAGTGAGTAGGTCAGATTAAGTTTTGCATCCTTTCTCCTCTCCACCACCCTAGTGCTGTTTGGACAGACATGATTGAGTTGACATAATCAAACAGATAGGAATGTTTACGGTGACAAGTAATAGGAGCAAATCGAGAAAATCATCTGAATTATAAAATAAATCAATGATTATTCTCCTTTGAAGAACACAGCAGCAGGATCTTTACAATCTACTACAATCTACTGCATTTTGGGAATCCATGCAGATATGTAGACTGTTCATATAAGGTTTGATTAAAGGTTAGGGGACCCAGGCAGGATATCTAGAACTCTTTGATGTTTCATACCAGTATCTTAATCTATAGAATATCGGCTGGTCAGGTCAAGACCTCAGTGTTTGAGAGACTGGGCCCAAGAGAGGTTGTTGGGACTGAAGGAGAAGAACAAGATAATGTTCCAGTTTCTAAACTAGATCATGAAGTGGGGACTGGATCATGAATATACTTTAGATATCAATATTAGAAATGGAACTTGAGTATTGAAAAAGGAATAAATGGAGTGCATGGTGATTCATCTAAATATGAATTAGTGCTTCTTAAATTGTCTCAGAGCAGGATTGTCATTGAAACACAGAGATTTTGGCTCTTAATTTGTTAAATTTATTCCTAGTGGTCTCTCCACTAAGATTATTCTAACATAAACTATACCCAAGAAAACACTAAAAAATGACATGAATAAATTTAAAGACTATTGTCTCTCTGGAGCATTCATAAATGATTACTGAGTGTGTGTGTGTGTGGGTGGGGGTGTTTGTGGGTGTTTCTCCTAAGGAAGCCAGAAATGAAAAACCCATCTTTAGGCAGTGTCTCTAAAGTTCTTTGGAAAGCCTAGGTATAAGAAAGCAAATTTTCTTCTACAACTTCCATTTTATCATGGGATTCAGATATGGTTAAAATAAACAGAGTCACTGGGATATATTATTCCAAAATTTGTGAATCTAGAAATGTATAGGTCTTTGTGGGTATATACAGAAGTATCTGCATCTACATCCATAAATGAGAAGAAGTAAAAATTTTCTGCTAAGTTAGAATAATGCCTTATTATTGACAAAGAAGGATTTGGGAATAAAGAATCAGCTTCATATCTCTAGGGGTTTTTTTAAGTTTATTCATTTATTTTGAGAGAGAGAGAAAAAGAGAGAGAGACAGCACTAGTGGGGGAGGAGAAGAGAAAGTGAGAGAGAGAGAATGAAAATCCCAAGCAGGCTCTGCACTATCAGGGCAGAGCCTGATTGGGGGGCCTCAAACTCATTAACTGGGAGATCATGACCTGAACTGCAGTCAAGTCAGACACTTAACTGACTGAGCCACTCAGGTGCCCCTCATATCTCTCTTTAATATAGAACCTGGTCTCTAAAGTAGTTTTAAGTTTCTGCCAAAGTAAATGTTAGAGCAATTACTATAATTTGTATTAATTAAGAAATATCTCTGATCAATTGAATCACAATATTGCAATTGTACTAAATTTGAATGTTATGCAAAAATAAAACATACACTTTCTTCCCCAGAGAAACCTACAATCTAGCAAGAAACAAGGTGTAACACACTAACTCTGATCACAGTACAGAAAGTACTAGCAAAATATATCTTTCTGAGAAAGAAATATATAGGAAACTGTACAGACTCCAAACGTATAACACACACACACACACACACACACACACCAAACAATCTCAATGGCAAAAAGATAAACAACCCAATTAAAAATTAGGCAAAAGACTTGAATAGATGTCTCTTCAAAAAGATACACAAATGACCAAAAAGCATTTGAAATGATGTTCAACATCATTAACCATTAACAAATAACTAATGAAATACAAATCAAAACCATTTCATGGCCACTATGGTGGCTCCAATTCAAAATAAAAAAAAACAAAACAAAAACAAATAGAAAGTGTGGTAAAGATGTAGAGAAATTGGAATTCTCATACATTTTTTGTAGGAATGTGAAGTAAGATAGTCCTGTGAAAATCTCTGGCAGTTCTACCAAATGTTAAATGTAGAGTTTCCGTATGATCTGGGAATTCTTTTCTTAGGTATATACCCACGAGAATTAAAACATATATTTGTATAAAATCATGTATACTTGAATGTTCATAGAGGCATTCTTCATAATAACTCAAACATGGAAACAACGCAAATGTACACAAGCTAATGAGTGGATAAACAAAATGTGGTATATTCATAAAATGGAATATTTTGTAGCTACAAAATGGAATGAAGTACAGATGTATACTATAGCATATGTGATACTTGAAATAAAAGGTGAACAAAGGAAACAAATTACATGATTCCAATTGTATGGGATGACCACAATATGGAGGTTCTTTTGGGGGCAATGAAAATATTTTGGAATTCTGTAATGGGGATGGTTGCACAGCGATGTGAATACATTTGAAAAACCCACTGATTTGTGTACTTTAAAATGGTCAGCATAATGAATATGTGTTATGTGGAAGTTTTAATACTCTAAAAACAAAACAGTCAAACTAAAATATACCCCACAGAACTTACAACATAAATAAAATTGCACCGTCTAAATGAAAGTATAATTCACAAAATATAGACATGATGCACTTGATGGGCATCTAAGAGTTAATTTTCTATTAGGATGCCTACAGAGCTCATTTGAAAAATAGTGTTTTTGGAATGGGAAATTAGTTTCTGGTAGTTCAAACATCACTGAGTCTTGGGGAAAGACAAGAAGCATGATATTCATATGCTAATGGAAAACTAAACATCTGCTTATTTCCCACATTTCACTTTCAGTCTTATTTTATTGCTGTGAATCAAACTTGACTGAATGTTTAGATGACTTATCAGGATTAATAGTTGTCTCTAACTTAAGTATAATAACTCTGGGATTCTAGGATTGATTTATCACAATTATATTTTGATAACAATGGGGACATTCTATTAGTAGATTGAATGCATATATTTATATTCTATTTATTTATTTTTTCTAATAATATTTATGCTCTTTAATGACATTATTTCCATATTAATTCAGAGTTCTTTTGTCACAATCTCAATGTAATGAACATCATAAAAATATTTCAAAATATTTCAGAATTGAAAAAGCAATTTAAAATTATTTTGGTAACATATCTAAACCTTTTAATTTTGTAAATTTTATTTATTTATTTTGAGGGAGACAGAAAACAAGGGTTGGGGGGAGAGTGGAAGAGAGAGAGGGAAAGAGAGAATCCCAAGCAGGCTCTGCACTATCAGCCTGGAGCCCAACGTGGGGCTCCATCTTGCAAACCATGAGATTGTGACCTCAGCTGAAACCAGATGTTTGATTGAGCCACCCCAGCACCCCTCCACTTTTTTATTTTTTAACTTAGAAATGTAAGTAGCTTCATTGAATGGGGCAGCATCCTATTTAGCTAGTAGAGAGATACTTCCTCAACATTGTTTCTGTATTTTTTTTCCTAAACTTTGTTTCTTAATTGCATTAAAATAAGCTTTAGTTTGTTCTTTGTGTATATTTAGAAAATTCTCTCTAAAACCATCTGCAAAATACTAAAATGTATAACTTGCTCCTGACTGGATTCACTATTGAGGTTTAAATACACATTTTACTGTTCTCATTTGTCAAGCAGGGTTATTATTAGTTAATGGAGTAAAATATGTAAAATGCACTTTGTTAATTGTAAAGTTCAACAAGAAATGCCTGTTTTCTTTTTTTTTTCTTTTCTTAAATGTTTATTAATTTTGAGAGAAGGAGAGAGAGAGAGAAAAAGCATGTGCACAAATGAGGGAGGCGGGAGAGAGAGGGAGAGAGACAATCCCAAACAGGCTCTAAACTCAGCTCCTTGAGATCATGACCTCAGGCAAAATCAGAAGTCAGTGGCTTAACCAACTGAGCCACCCAGGTGCCCCCTATGGTTTCTTTTTAAACTACACTTATTTCATTCATTTAGATGTTATATTATCAAAATAAAAGGAAAAGATGCTACCTATTTATATGTTTGCTCATTAAGTTATATACTACATATGTAATTGCCTTATTTTTGGGCAATACCTTTGGACAAACATAACTTTTTCTGTTCCTTTTGTGTGTGTGTGTGTGTGTGTGTGTGTGTGTGTGTGTGTGATTGCTTTTTTCAACCAAATAGCCTTTCAAAAATAGAATGTTTTACATGTTCATTTTAAAATTGAGTATCTGTTAGTGATTATATTTTACTAGGTCTTTGTTTCCAAACTGGGTTATTTAACCACAATAGATACGTATAAACAATTTGTGTGTTCTCTATTTCTTTATAGATTCCACAAAGAAATTAAAGGATGTTCTTGAAGAATTCCATGGTAATGGTGTGCTTGCAAAGTATAATCCTGAAGGGGTAAACCTTTTTTCTTTATATCAGTTTCATATATATGATTGAAGACGAGATTTCTTAATGAATAGTCCTTAGAAGTATATGCATCATATACCATACCATAATGAAAATGAAATTCATATGAAATGCTTTTCTGGAAAATACATAAAATAGTGTACTACTTTTTTTCATTCAAAAAACGTTTGCTAATGAAAATAACATTTGTATGTTGTGTTCTTGAAAGAGTATAGATCATCCCTAATATGTCCTTGGTTCTTTTCCTAAAGGTTAAAAACATTGTGATTCTGAGATGGCTTGCTCAGGTATGATCAGGTCAGGATTAGATAGAAGGGAAGACAGAGTGTGCTTGCTACTCCCTCCGAGTTGTATACTTTTTAACCCCAGATGAACATTGGTTGGGGGCAGGAGAGTTACTCCTTTCAAAGAATTATTCCCTTGACTAAAGAAAAATCTGTAATTTTAAAAAGCCACCTTGGGTAAAAAGCAATTTCTTCCTCCTATCTTGTTTTAATCTATTACCAGTAAGCTAATGAGTCCCTGAAATTCCTTCCTTATAAAAACTTCATGTCCTGTTGATGGCTTTGGAATACCTTGCTTGAATGAATGTCTATCCTTTCCTAATTATTTCTTTAATAACCTTCCTTTTGATGTTAGCTGAGAGATGTTACATTTTGAATGTTTGAGCATCTTTACTGTGAGTTCTTTTGGAGTTTCACCAAATGATAATTGTGTTCTTTAGGAGTTAAAACAAATTAAGCTTTTCAGAAGACCCTTTCCCCTGGATGTATTATCTAGCCAGCTAGATAGATTTGTTTGCTGATTAAATGTGATTTGTTTTTTGCTATTATTGTCATTATGGTTTTCAATGTTTATAAGAGCACAGTTCTTCATTTTCCTTCAATGTTATATTTCTTTGGGATTTGTAGAATTTGTATTTTAGTCAAAACTAAGTTTCTAAATTCTAACCTCAGTTCATATTGTTTTATAATTTACTTTCAGTATTTCTAATAGCTATTTTTCATGCCATATTTTCTTATTCTGTCTATATTCTGATACATTACTGTACCTTGTAGAAGTCTTTACCTTAAGATTTTTTTTCTTTTTCAACTAAATTAATATTTAGAGCCTGCCAATGATGGGGAAAATAAGTCAATTTAAAGCCATTCCCATTTTCCTATCCTAGGAACAAAAGCAAATATCTGGCCTACATTTTTCTCATATTTTATTTTCCTGGATGCTATAGTGTGAGAAAAAAAAATGTTGGCAGATAAATTTGTAGACTGAAAATCTCAAAGACCACAAAAGCAGAGTGGGAAAGCTAAAGATGACAACTTTATGGAAGTGCTGTAAGGCCCGAAAATGTCATTAATATTTACATTCCCAACCATTCTTGATGATGTACATGTTATCTACATACAGAGATAAAACCAGGTTTTCTTTCTCCCTAAAGATAGCTGGGAGCTATAAATTAAGTTGGAATGTAATTTTGTTTGCAAAATAGCCTTTTTGCTTCAGTGATTTCTTATTTAAAAGATTCTCATGACTTAGTCTTACTGATATTATATATTTCATGAGGATTATCAGTCACTGTATACTGGATTTATTGAGGTAATTACTAGATTCATTCTTAGACACACATATGATGTCAGCCTTTTCAATAATGTAATAACTCTCTGTAAATGCACAGATCTGCTCTTGGAATGCATTATTAAAATAATGAATGGTTGAAAAACAAAAAAAAGTTAGATCCCAGTATGACCCCAAAGTAATTTTAATTTAAGAGCAAATCTTCTCTCTAATCTAACATGATTGGTCTTTTCCCTTCAGGAAAAAAAATATAAAGTTTATATGACTTTAATGACTAATATGTATTTTACAAAAGCCAATAGGAAGTAGTTAGGAATATTTAATATTGAGAAAGAAAGCTTTAAGGCCTTAAGATTCTCTTCAGAACATGACTTCATCTAATTTCTTAAAGTTTACTCTAACAGTATGGCAGAATTCATACTCTCTATTCACATGGGAAGTTTTCACTCTCTATTCACTAGTCAGATTAATACTAAAGTTGTGTGGTGAAGATGACTACTTAATTGATGACCCAGTATACGAGAAAATGTAGAGAAGTATTTAATCTATATTGTTTTTAGAATACTTAATCCTTTGTTTTCTAAAATAAAGATTGCTTATATCATCCACATAAAAGATATTTGCAAAGAAACAAAAAACAGACAAAATATCCCTTATTTGCTTCTCCTCTTACAAAGTAAAGCTGCTTATATGGTAGATGCATTATATTTCTTATCACTCTTTTAATTACTGAGTTCTAAAAGCTCTTTGTATAAAAATTGCATCTAATGGATATGTGAATGGTTTAAGTCTATTTTAATGGAGAAGAAATACTAATTTCCATATATGGATGAATAATTTATTTTTAATTTGTATCTTTTAAAGATCAACTAATAATCACTCTTTGAAAAAAATAAATAACCAAATCAAAAATATGAATCTAAACAATGGCATTAAAGATTCCCTAAGAGTAAAGTGTTTAAAAAGGTCTTCAGTTTCCCAAACAGTTAAGATTATAAAATTTTTAGATAAAGTCATTATAAGAAAAGTAAAATTACTTTCTTGGGATTAACCACCTAGTTTCATGACAAGAGCCATAATTAAAACTTAATTATCTGGAATCCCAGATTAAGACTGATGCCCTTTCCTCTTCACTTTGTTGATTGGGCCGTAGAATGAAAAGGAAGGTCTTGGGAATTAAGAATAAGGAGAAGCGAAAGGTATTTCACATACATTGAGTGGCATTTCTTATGTAATGAGTATGGCATATTCCGATGCACATAATTACTACTAACTCATACCTAAAAAGGTAAGAGATTCTTTTTTTTTATTTTTTCCTTGTAAAACTTTTTATTGAAATATAATTACTATACAGTGTTATATTAGTTTCAGATATACAACATAATGATTCAATAATTCTATATATTACTCAGTGTCCACTACAATAAGTGTAGTCACCATCTGTCACCAAACAACATTGTCACAATCTTACTGATTATATTCCATGTGCTATACTTTCCACCTCCATGACTTTTTGGATTCTTATTAATCTCCAACTAATCTTACATGAATGTTAAGAGTATGATTATAGCTAGTTTTTAGTAGCCATTCAATCTCAGTGAGAAGATTCACAGTAAAAGAGTAAAATATAGTCAGCATATCTCAGGTATTAATGATTCATGAAAGTAATGGAATTGGATAATATAAGAAAGAACAAGTTTGGCGTTGCATTTTATATGTGCGTAATATATATATATGTAGCATATTATAGTATAAGTAATTGTGTGTGTGTGTGTGTGTGTGTGTGTGTGTATTTCCCCTTCTGGATTCAAATTCAATTCTAAATTGTTCCTTTAATGTCTAAAGACATGGGGAAAAATAAGTAGTACTATACATATGGGAAGTTATTTTTCTTTAAAGGCATGGCAATGGACTAGTCAAAATGTTAATCCAAAAGATGGGAACATTAGGAGTAGGAAAGAAGTATTCATAATCTAATATATACTTATATATACTGTTCTGTTTTCATGATCTTCTCTGGAAGGTTTTAAAAATCTTATATGTGTTATTCATTATATTTACCTCCTGTCAATTAGAACTGTTTGCTTATTACACTCAAAGAATGATCTAGTAAGTGATTCTCAAATTTTAGCTTGTATCAGAATCACCTGATGGTTTTCTTAAAATACAGATTGCTGTCTGTTCCCCTGACCTCCTCAGTTTCTGTGTTTCTGGGGTAAGGTTCAAAAATGTGTATTTCTATAAGTTTCACAGTTTATGATAATGATGCTGTTTCAGGACCACATTTTGAGACCCATAGTTCTAGGGTATGTTTTAAAATCAATCTGTAAACTTGACCTTTTAGTTGTCAGCAATAGAGATAATGAGTATAAATTATCTGACGTTAACACGTGTATTCTTTCTTTCCTTGCATGCACAGAAACAAGACATTCTTAACCAAGTAAGACATTTTCTTTTCTATTGAAATCTGTCTTTTCTTTCTTTATTCTGATGTGAGCTATAAATTTCTCATCCATATCACTGACCTGTACTTCTCTACCATTAAGATTCATATAATATGCACGGCTATCCATAAAACTTAGAAAGTTATAATTAACTGATATTTGTTCACATAAAAGTCTCAAATAGAAGAACTAATACCTTGGTGGAATTAAAGAAGGTCTAGAGGGTGGGCTTTAGTTTTATAGACTCTTGAATTTAATTTTCTGATTTCACCAAAACATCGATCAAACTCCAGTAAAATAAACCATTTAATGAAAGTCTTAATTTATGTACCTGCAACGGGAGGTTTATAACTGCATTTAAATGCAATTGATAGGTATTTCTTTGCAGGGGACATCTACAGTGCTATTCGAACCTGTGAGGGAAATATAACTGAAAAGCTATTGATCTTTGCCTTCCTGGGAAAAAAGAGTAACCCGTCTGTCATTTCAGCCATTCTCCTAGTAAAGCCCATTTTGTAAAGCAAGTTTTGTGTCCATAGTTCAGCTGGGTGCTTAGAATTACAACCCATTTTTGGGAGCTTTAAATGGATTTTTCTATCATACTAGGAATATATCTTAGCAAAATGCATGAGATCTTTAAAGCCATAATATTGTCTCTCTTGCACAGTAATGAGTAGGTACTAACAGCTTTTTATTCACCTCTCTCCTATGGTCTCAATGACAGCAAACACTGTAATCTCATCCCCAACATATCACAGTGCAATTGGTTATAGCAGAACAATCTTGATTGACTAGATGTAGGTCCTCCATATTACAGTCTCCTAGAATGAGATAGGACTGAAATGGCAACTCAGTTACTGTGATGACTTTTACCATTCTCTTTCAGGAGACGACACTTCTCTGATAATATCCCTGAACTATGTGGAAACCTACCAACCATCACCCCTCCCCCAAGACAGTCTACAAGGGCTTTATGATTTTAGGAGGCAGCTCTTCAGAGTAAATGGCTGCTTTTATATAGTAGGATTTAGCTATGGGAAGACATTTACTGAACACCTTGGTCAACAAACACACCTTTCTGCACAATGTGCATCCCTCCCAGGGACTGTCTGAAAACTAGTGTCAAAGTTAGCCCCGCCTTTTTTAGGGTCAGCAGGATGAGTTTCTTTCTCTCCTTGCTCAGTCTTTCTTCCATATGGAGATGTTGGGTAGGCAAGCAATTTTAGTTGCAGAATAGAAAGAACAAGGAAAGCTGAGGTTAGCCAAAGGAGAAAAAAGTGCATGCATATTTTTTGCTCTATATGTGTTCTTGGTGTATCGGTGCCTATGAGTGTAGGATTTTCTCTTTATATTTCCTGTTAGTAGATGATCCTTGGCACAAGGGTTAGTTGTATTTCATAGTTCCCTGGGCTTCCCTTATCTTTGCACTTGGTACTCTGCACTGTGAGTTCTACTAATATAGAAGGATACCCTTTACATTTAGACAAGTGAATTGCTTCATTCCCTTAATAAGAAACCTGGGAATTCATAACTTACATTTGGTAGTGCTGCCACCCAATGTAATATTTTCAGTGTCTTTAACAAGGATATTGACACTGAAAGAATTATTAGCAATGATATAAACACCCTTTTATTGTAAGCTATAATTGTCCTTCCAGAACCAAATTCAACCTTTGCCATTAAATAAGGCATCTGGAAGGTATAACAGAGAAAATGTGGCCTTAGGAGTCCAACTGAACTGAGTTCAAATCCCACATCTGCCATGTATTAGCAGGTCTTGGACAAATGATTAGCCTCAATTTGTTCAGCTATCAAACAAAAAGAATATTGGCCTTATCGAGTTGTTAAAAGGGTTAAATTCTGAAGTGTATACAAAATACTTAGCTCTGTGCCTGACGTATCAGTGTTCCACTGATGTTTAAAGGCAGTAGCTATTAGTCACACGTTAGCAACCAGCATGATTTCATACAAAATTTCTAGAGTATATGTGAAAAGAGAAGATAGGAATATCTGAGATACACCATCAGCCTATCCTATCACCTTTATTTTCTCAGAGCCTCACTTTTCTCAACTATAAAGTGAGAAAATATAACTCTGATGTCTTTTCCAACTCTAAATTGATTTCCTTCTACCATGAGGTATGAGTGGAGGACATAAGATGTGATTTTCTTCCCGGCCAAGCCTGGCCACTATCCAGAATGCTGCCCTGCTCCCAGAGTTATTGTGTCTCTTGTATCTGTTCCACCTCTCACAACTGCATATATGCCAGCGCACTGGATTAGCAAGGAATGGGAGAAACATGTTAACCAGTATTTCTACATCTCTTCCCTGTTCCTCTTTATACAAAGGCAGCTGTTTTCATCTTATCAAACTTACAATCAGAGACCAGTTTTGAAAATTTACCACCACACTGAATAATAAAATGCCTTTGATAATTCTGTATGTTTAACCTCATATTCAGTGTGTATTAATTATTGTTGAAATATGTAGTAACTTTCTTTTCATGATGTGGCTTCGTATTTACACCTTGATACTCAGAGAATTGCCCTGTCCTAGCACTGAGCCCTGTAAAAGTTTGAGAAGATATTTATATAGATACTTATGAGCCTAATTAGTTACATCTTGTAATTAAACACATCAATTTGAATAGCTTGTTACAGGTTTGTCATAAGTGCACTGAGGATCCAATCTCGATATTGTCAAAAAAAATACTGTCTTGTATCTATGACAACATTTAGAATTTGAGAATCAACTGTCTGCAGTACTGTATCCTAAATTGAAACTTCAGTGGTCTGTTTCAAGTGGCTAGGTGATATCTGTCACAGTTGATGTATTTCTCCCCTACATTTCTATGATAAACATACAGGAATGCATTTTCTGCTATTCTAGTCTGCCCTCACTCCTATTCTGCTCTCCTGCCCCTCCTCAGTGACTTTTATATAAATCCCTCTAAAACAATAACATTTTAATACCTCAGGACCTTTGGACTACCTGTTTGGCTATTTGAGATGTTCTCTCTCCAGATATGTGCAAAGATGTCACCCTCTTCTCCTTTAAATCTTTATTCAAAGAGCAGATTTTCATTTCCTCCTCATAAGATTTAATATTACAAGCTTCCCTTCCAAATTTATAACTATTTTACTTCTTTTTTTCCTATAACACTTAATACTGTCAAACATTGTACATTTAACCTATTTATTTTGCTATTTTATTTTATCTTTTGTTGGAAGATTAGCCTCTAGTGGAAGGATTTTCACATGTTGCAGTAGCATCTTTACCCAAACACCTAGGGCAGAGCCTCATACAATGTGGGTACGCAGTGAACATTTGCTGAATATGAGAAAATCTCCATCCTGAAACCACCAGAATACATTAATGATAGAGTGATGACATTTATTTTCATTCACTTTGAATCTACTTGGATGAATACTAGTGTTATTTCTTTAGTATTAACAGGGACTTAGAAACAAAGGACCCAGATGGTCAGATATAATAATGAAAGGCATATAGAAATGTGTTTTGAATTTATGCCAATTTGGCAACAACATCTGAGCAGCTCCCTCAGTCTGAATTCTTTGCAAATTCTCCATGTTATCTCCTTAAATAGTCTGTGGCTGCTCCTTAAGAAAAAAAAAATTAAAAAGCAGTTCTTAAAATTTTAAACATTGTGAGTGTGTGTGTTTCTGAACTTGCAGCCAGTTTGGTTTTTGAACGCTCATTCAGTTAAGTCCAACAAAACGTTTTTTTTTATTAGTGTTTCCATTGATGTGCATATAAGTGATCTTAATCTATTTAAAGATCACAATCTTCAAAAACCAATTCTAATGCTGCTATATGACAGCAGTAGAAAATGAAATACTTAAATTTGGCAATGTTCTACTGAATCATGAAATAAGGAAAATGTATATATTGAGAACAGTATGCACTTACAGATATTTTAGACAACATAGAATTTAAAGGAGATTTGGAAATCTTTTACTAACAAGAAAAGAAGGAGGCAGGGTAACCAGAAAAGGCATTTCAGAATAATTAACTCTATGAATTGGAAACACTAAAACAGCTCAATTTTGACTTTAAAGAAATTTGAGTTTTACAACACTGTAAGCTGTATATAATGGCCAAAAATTTAAAGGAAGGGAATTTTGCTTCCACCAACACTGTTAAGAAGTTTGAAAGAGAATTTTACATCATCAGTAAAACTTAAGTAATAAATGGGATGACATCATCTCATAGAAAACGTCTAAGACTGAGGAAATAATGATGATTCCAATAAAAGACTTTTATTTTCTAAAGGAAAATATCTGTTTATAAATGCTCATGTTTTAAAAGCAGTGATTTGTCAATGTTGCTTGATACAGAACAATTATCACAAAATAGCTAAAACCCAGAAACTGCAGGTTTGATTCAGGAAGATGTAGTGAATTTTCTGGTTTTCTGGAGTAAAAAAGAGGAGAGCAAATTAAGATAATAAAAAATCCATTAAACCTCAAACCAGCACTTCCTTCTACTATTTTAACATTTCATTTATTTTACATGCCATGTGCCCAAGGGCATCTTAAGTGCTTTATGTTGATTTATTATTACATTTAGATGACAATCCTGAATGCTTCATCTTATATATATATCACTTTATATGGAAAAAAAATAAGGGTTAGAGCTGTCAGAGAATAAAACCAAGCTGCTTTTTGCTTACTGAGCATGACAGAGCTGCAGCATTTAATTTTAGAAAGTTTCCTGAGGACCAAGAAATAAGGACCAAGGAGTAACATGTTCCTTATTAAGGGGGATACTCTTCTTTTTGATTGTTTTTTCTCCCCTGGTTTTCATTATTAAATTACAGGTGCTAATTTCAAGGAGGTTCTATTATGTAAGACTTTTTAAAGTACACCCACTTGGGATATGGCAGATTTTTTCTTTAAAGGAGCAGATAGGGGTGCCTGGATGGCTCAGTCGGTTAAGCGTCTGACTTCGGCTCAGGTCAGGCTCTCACAGTTTGTGGGTTTGAAACCTGTGTCAAACTCTGTGCGGACAGTTCAAAGTCTAGAGCCTGATTTGGATTCTGTGTTTCCCTCTCTGTCTGCCCCTCCTCTACTCATGTTCTGTCTCTCTCTCTAAAAAATAAACATTACAAATAATAATAATAAATAATAAACAAATGAAAGAGCAGATAAATTCCTTGCCCCAGATCACTCAAGTAGCAAGCAGAGATTTTGGAATAGGACACAACATTATTTTATCCTGAAGTTCTTCTTTTGTTTTTCTTTGTTGGTTGGTGGTTAAAGTTTTCCTCTGTTATCAGGTTAAACTCTCCTCTATTTTCCTTGAAATAGTTGCATTTTAAATACAATCATGTTCCAAAGGACAATCCAAAGAAAAACTGTCATCAGTTCTAGTCCTTTCTTCATGTTTTGTTACCAGCTTTCTAAAATAAATAATAGTAACAACCAAAAAGGATATTCAAATGCATATAAAAACATTTAAGGTAATGTGGTTTTGAGGCTTATTCTTCAAAAAACTGAAATTTCTAACAGACCAAAAGGTAGGTATTGTGTTATTCTTTTCTATAGATGGAAAAATTGAGGCATTGAGAGGTTGATGAATTTCCCACCTTGACACAGCTAGGAAGTGTTGAATCTGAGAGCAGATCCAGGTAGTCTCACTTTAAAACTATGCTCCTGTGTTCTGTTATGTTGGCAAATGTAGTGCTGATGACTTAAGGCTTAAGACACAAAAGCAAGAGTGAATATAAATGACCATGCTCCCAGCCACAGTGCCTATGAATATGTTATTTTTTACACAAAGTTATATTTTTGTAATAAAATTACTCCTAATGTCCCATAGGGCTTCACACATTTGATAATTGTCTATGGATATTGGTCACTCATCTAACTGAAAGTGGATTTAATCTCTTGCAATAATTGGTCATGCCCAAGGAACCCTGTTAGTAAGAGTAGGTGTCTCTGCTCAAGAAAACAAACTTTGATACAGTGGTCTGGCTGTTAGCCTTCTCTGCATATTTGGAAACTTTGGTTTCATTTATGAAGCATATTGCTTTATGGAAGTAATGCTACCTGAGGCTATTATTTATATCTTTATATTATTCATGGTTTTTAATTATGTGGTTCACTAGTCTAATACAATATATAATACGTTGTGGTGGTGGTGATTTCTTAAATATGGAAGAAAGTGAAGTCTTCTTTTTTTATATACTTTTTTTAAAATTTTTATTTTTGAAAGACAGAGCATGAATTGGCAAGGGGCAGAGAGAGAGAGGAGGACATAAAATACAAAGCAGGCCCCAGGCTCTGAGTTGTCATGACCTGAGCCGAAGTCAGACGCTTAACTGACTGAGCCACCTAGGTGCCCCATGGAAGAAAGTGAAGTCATTTACTACCACCAGTATAAATGTACTCCAATATAAAGGTGCACCAGTATTAAGTGCTCTTTATGGATAAGCAAAGGAAGATTAACCAAAAATATCAGATTAAGGTGTAGGCAGAGTTTTGCAACCATGAATAAACACAGTGAAATTTTGGTTTTGTTTCTTACAGACTTGAAATTATATTAGATACAGAAACAGACATAGAACATATTCTTAACTGGCACACGATCTAATATATAAAAATGTACTTTTTATGATGATATCCCTGTATGTCATATTCCATTTTAAGTTTATTCAAAATAATAATAAAATTGGTCATTCTGTACCATATTATCCCAATATAATTACATAGAACAAATACTTTTTCTATCCAAAATAGCAGTTTAAGGAATTAATTTATTCTCATCTGCCAGAAGTTTGACTAAAATTAAGAGCATCCGTCAGCCAGATTTCATCTTTGCCCTATTTTTAGTTTCATCTCAGTTACATTGAACTGGATAAGAAAAAATAATGCCCTTCATGGGCTTCCTCTCCAGTCCATCGACCTTGTGAGGCCCATCGACCTTACACTCTCTTGATCTGGACAGATGCGGCTTTATTCCAGCTTCTTCTCAGTAGGTTTCTTAGTCCCTTCAAAGGCCTACTGGATAGGACCCAACATAACTCCACTGGCCTCTTCCATGTGGTCTGCATTGATTTCCCAGGATATATTTATGCCTCGTTGTCTCTACAGACCTGAGGGTCTTAACCAAACCCAATATAGTACCATTGACTTGCCTTTGCCCCGAAGGACCTACCCCCTTGTCCTCAGTTTTCCAGACAAGAGTAAGATTCTGTCTGGATCTGTCCAGTCCACGGCCCACATCTGTGTGAAGAAAATAAGCTATCCAGGTGACTCCTGGGAAATCCTCTCCTTAACTCAAGGATAAGAAGGTGGTTTCTACCACTATTTCCCCAGGTGGATATGGAGACTCTCAATGTAGCAGTGGTTCATTCCAAATCAATATCTGTGTTTTTGTTTTGTTTTGTTTTTTATAGATCTGCAGTGAGTACAGGTGGGCAAAGGTCTTGAAATAGGGTTCCTCGAAAGTTTGCGTGGGAAGTTTTAGAATTTCACTTTGGAATTTCATATCAAATGATTTTGGTGCTAGGGTGAATTTTTCACTTTAACCCCTTTTCTCATTTGTCAAAATCAAGATTAACCATTAGAGGCCAGGAAAGGAGACAAGAGAAATTCCTTTATTTTAGAGTATCCGTGCTCTGTTCGTGACTGCATTGGCATGTTCATGTCAGTTGCCTGATTTAATTATAACAGCAACTCTGTGGGATTGGGAATATTATTCCCAATTTACAGAAAAGGAAACTCAGTTTCAAAGAGTAGATTTTTTTTAAGGTGATAAAATACTCTGGAAATAGAAATGTCTGACTGGAAAGCTTCTGCCTTTCCTGCTGCCCCAACACAGGTAAGATACATACTTATCTAATCTCCACTATTAGCTTAAGACTGCTCCCTCCATTTCTCAAATAGTTACCTTCCTTTTGTAGACATGGGTATAAGAATGTTTGAGGTCATTTCTACCACTGTTGATTCTGAATATAGCACATAAAACATCTTAATGTTGGCTAAGTCTGAAAATACATGTTTCAATTTTTTTTCAGACAATAGATTTTGAAGGTTTCAAGCTATTTATGAAGACATTCCTGGAAGCAGAGCTTCCTGATGATTTCACGGCTCACCTTTTCATGTCATTTAGCAACAAATTTCCTCATTCTAGTCCAATGGTAAAAAGTAAGCCTGCTCTCCTTTCAGGCGGTAAGTCTAATTATTTATTTAACTATGTATACACAGTAAGAACCCCAAAGGGAAAATCATTATCAAGTTCTTTATAAGAGAAGAGATTATTTGCTTAAGAAATATCTTTATTGCAAGACTTATACTGTCATACATACTAAGATTGTGCAAAATATTTAAAGTATCTCTGATATAATTATAGCTAAACTTTAAAGAAAATATACTTTATCATTATCCATCACTTGTCATTCAAAGTCTTAGAAGTCTATGTTTAGGTAATAATTTTTAGAGATACTTCCATCAAATATGGAAAAGTACTCCTTTAAATGACTAGATAAATATAGATCACTTTATATATGAAAATGCAGTCACAAAGCCATCATGTGTAGGAAACATAGTATTTTTATCACGTGTAAATTTCCAATATACTTTCAAAGAAGATAGTTTTGATTTTTCTCTTAGAAACTCACTTTTAAAATTTAATGTCACCCGCATGAAATGACGCTCAGTGCCCCTCATCATTAGGGAAATACAAATCAAAACCACACGGAGATACCACCTCACGCTGGTCAGAGTGGCAAAAATAAACAAATCAGAAGACTCCAGATGCTGGTGAGGATGTGAAGAAACGGGCACCCTCCTACACTGTTGGTGGGAATGTAAACTGGTACAGCCCCTCTGGAAAACAGTGTGGAGGTTCCTTAAAAAATTAACACTAGAACTCCCCTAGGACCCAGCAGTAGAAGTGCTAGGAATTTACCCAAGGGATACAGGAGTGCTGATGCATAGGGGTACATGTGCAGCACTCTCAACAATAGCCAAAACATGGAAAGAGCCTAAGTGTCTATCAACGGATGAGTGGATCAAGAAGATGTGATTTATCTATATAATGGAATATTACACAGCAATGAGAAAGAATGAAATCTGGTCATGTGTAGCAACATGGATGGACCTTGAGGGTGTTATGCTGAGCGAAATAAGTCAGGCAGAGAAGGACAGCTACCATATGTTTGCACATATAGGTGGATTAGGAGGAACTTAACAGAGGACCACGGGGGAGAAGAAGGGTAAAAATAGTTGGGGAGAGGGAGGGAGGCAAACCATGAGAGACTCTTGAATGCCGAAAACAAACTGAGGGCTGATGGGGGTGGAGGGGAGGGGAAGGGGGTGATGAGCATGGGGGAAGGCACTTGTGGGGATGAGCATTGGGTGTTATATGGAAACCAACTTGACAATAAACTGTTTAAGAAAAAAATAAATAAATTTAATGTCACCATAGAGGTGATTGATTCTGTCATACTAGGTAGCTTTTCTGAGATGTCTAATGTATTAATACCTGTTGCTAATTGTGTCCAGCTCCATCCAGTCAGGAGAACAGAAATCTCATCCAGTTACTCCAGAGAGCATAGACTAGGTGATTGGTTAAACAGTGCTGGAAAGTTGAAAAAGCAATGAGAAATACTGAGGTAATAATGCAGAGGTACAACCACAGGAAGTGTGTCCTGCCCCGAGGTTGGAGTAATCAGTAATCAAAACTCAGAAGCTTAGAGCAAGGACATCTTGGAACTGGGATGCAGGGTTCTGCGGGGAAGGTGTTGCCTGGCAGATCTGACCCTGGGACTTCTGTGAAGGGGAAACCTCTGTCTGAGTTTTGTAGCTTAGGAGCTCAAGAGACACCTGTGGCCTGGCAGTTAGATGCTAGAGGGTCATCTCGGAAGTCTGTGCAGGGCTGTGTAGACAGAGCTCAGTCGGCCTTTTTTGATGTGGATATAAGCTGGTGACTAGAGCCTCTTCCACCTGGAATTATGTGCTGTGAGGGGGAAATACCGTAGAGATCTAACAGGAAGTGAGGTAGAGGAACAGGAACCAGCCCCTTCTCCTTCCTTCCTTGTCATGTGTCTCTAGTGGCCCCTGTCAACTCAATAGGAAGTCAGCTCACAGTGGAGAAGCATAGTCTACAGCTGAGTTTCTCAAATTCTTTGGTCTCAGGACACTTTTAGGACCCCAGAGACCTTTGGTGATATCTACTATATCCATAGTAAAGATGAGGTATTGTAAAAGTGTATAATCAATCCATTACATATTAACAAAAATAACATTTTTCTGAAAAATAAGTTCAAAAACAAAACAAAACAAAAATGTGAGGAGAGTGTCCTTGTTTTATATTGTTGCAAATCTGTTTAACCTCTGACTTCATATCTGCTTCTGTGTTTCTGTTGTTGTATCCTATGTTATGCAACCTCTTAAAAGCTCTACTGTACACTCATGAGAGAATTAGAGTGAAAAAAGAAAATGTGATATCACACAATTATCACTGATAATCATTTTGACCTTACAGCTTCTCTGAAAGGGGCCTAGGGATCCCAAGGGAGCCCTTGATCTAGCGACTTTGAGCCCTCACATCACAAAGTAGAATACCAAAATGTGGGTAAAGGGATAGAAGATGTCTAGTATCTGGCACTCTAATAAATAAAAAGAGTAGAACATGCAAGTAAGAAATAGGTGGTTGAACCATAACTAAGACATAGGCAGTGTGATACAGACTCCATTCTCCTAAGCTTTATATTGTACTGCTTCCCCTTACGGTAATAACATAAAGTCTCTTTCCTCAAGAGATCATATATATCTCAGTGCAAGCTTTTCTTTTCTTTTGTTTTTCTTTTTTCTTATTTTTTTAAAATTTACATCCAAGGTAGTTAGCATATAGCTCAATAATGATTGTAGAAGTAGAATCCAATGATTTATCCCCTATATAAAACATCCGGTGATCGTTCCAGCAAGTGTCCTACTTAATGCCCCTTGCCCACTTAGCCTATCCCCCCACCCACAACCTCTCCAGCAGCCCTCAGTTTATTCTCTGTATTTAAAAGTCTTTTAAGTTTTGTCCGCCTCCCTGTTTTTATATTATTTCTGCTTCTCTTCCCTTATGTTCATCTCTTTTGTATCTTAAATTTCACATAGGATTGTAATCATATAATATTTGTCTTTCTATGACTAATTGCCCTTAGCATAATACACTCTACTTCCATCCATGCTGTTGCAAATGGCAAGATTTCATTCTATTTATTTTTTAATTTTTTTAACTTTTATTTACTTTTTGGAGACAGAGAGAGACAGAGCATGAGCCGGGGTTGGAGGAGGGGACAAAGAGAGAGAGACATGGAATCTGAAGCAGACTCCAGTCTCTGAGCTATCAGCTCAGAGTCCAGTGCGGGGCTCCAACCAACAAACTGTGAGATCATGACCTGAGCCAAAGTTGGCCGCTTAACCAAACCACTCAGGTGCCTCAAGATTCCATTCCTTTTGATTGCCGAGTAATATTCCACTACATACAGGGGCGCCTGGGTGGCTCAGTCGGTTAAGTGTCCGACTTTGGCTCAGGTCATGATCTCAGGGTTCGTGGGTTCGAGCCCCGTGTCAGGGTCTGTGCTGACAGCTAGCTCACAGCCTGGAGCCTGCTTCAGATTCTGTGTCTCCCTCTGTCTGTGACCCTCCCCTGTTCACGCCATCTCTCTCTCTCTCTCTCAGAAATAAATTTTAAAAAACATTAAAAAATTTAAAATATATTCCACTGCATATATATACCATATCTTTTTATTCATTCGTCAGTCAGTGGACATTTGGGCTCTTTCCTTACTTTGGCTATTGACAATAACACTGCTATAAACATTGGGGTGCATTTTCCCCTTTTGAAACAGCACAGCTGTATACCTTGGATAAATACCTAGTAGTGCAATTGCTGTGTCATAGGGCAGTTCTAATTTTAATTTTTTAAGGAACCTCCATAATGGTTCCAGAGTGGCTACACCAGCTTGCATTCCCACCAGCAGTGCAAAAGGGTTCCCCTTTCTCCACATCATTGCCAATATCTGTTGTTGCCTGAGTTGATAGTTTTAGCCACTCTTGACAGGTATGAGGTGGTATCTCCTGGTGGTTTTGGTTTGTACTTCCCTGATGATGAGTGATGTTGAGTACTTTTTCATGTGTCTGTTAGCCATCTGGATATCTTCTTTGGAAAAGTGTCTTCCATTTCTTTACTGGATTATTATTATTTATTTTTTGGGTGTTGAGTATGTTAAATTCTTTATAGGTCTGGATACTAACTCTTTATCTGATGTGTCATAGGTGTGAGCTTTTCTAAAAACAAGTGTACACCTTCCATATGATATATTTTGATTCCTTCAAACTATATACCAAAGAATATGTTTATTATAATCTTTAATTACACTCTAAATGTTTTAGTTCCTTAAGTAATTCCCTTTACATTATGATTTGAAAAGACTCCCCCCATTGGTTTTTCTGTGAGTCTTATTTTCTGTGTTCTTACAGTGTGCTATCAGAGGTTTCCAGTGTTCAAGACTGAAGATTTTAAAATGGGACAATTCCTTACTTTGATCTAGAAATTAAACTTCTGTGTTGTCCATTTCATGCTATAAATAGATTCCACATACCATAGACTAAATAAAATCAAAATTGTCTCTTTAATTTCATATGAAGCAATTCTGTTTTGGGTATGAGAAAGAAGCAAGGGGAATGTTTTTCGATCTGAGTAATTGTGTCAGACTTGGAGGAAGGAGCGAGATTCTAATTAATTAGGTAGGTTTGTAAGAAATGAAAATCTCAAACTCTCTTTTCTTCAAATAGCATGTAGTATTACTTAGAAGATGCCAGATTTACAAGTAGTAAAAATCAAATCAGTTTCCAAAATGGAAAAAAGAAATAAAGGGTAACAGCTTGTACTTCATTTGGGACAGCCACATAATCTGCACAGATCTACTTGAAAGGAATCGCAAGATGGGCTGTGTAACTCTCATGCAGCAAAAAATAAAATTGGAATTCCTTTTCAAAACTTGGTCTTCACATTTTAAAACATAAGTGCGTGGTGTCCATCCTAGGACTGTTTTAACCCCATAGTCTTTGAAACTTATCCCTGATAGTGGAAAAAAAAAAAAAAAACATTTTTATTTTTAGAAACCTACTTTGCAGTAATATAAATTATCTACACAAGATATATTTGAGCT